GTTGTTCACATATTTGAATCCCACGACCGGTTCTAGGGTGCTCACCAGCCCCTAGCTGAATGCTCCTTTGTGTGTACCCTAAGCAAAGCTTAGGTATTATTAGGGGAGTGTCTAAGAATACAGGCAATTCCAAACCAGGTTTTGTAAAGTTAGGCTGTTGAGGTCTGATAAATTCAATATTTCCAGATATTGAGGGAGTTCTTTAGATATTGTTCCAAGAGCTCCAAACACAATTGGTGTATTGATTTCTTTTCCCATAAGCATTTATCTTTGATCTACAAGTTCCCTTATTTCATATTTTTTTCTAATTGCTTTTCCTCAAAACTAGCATCACACAATATAAGCAACATCAATGAATCAGACTTTCTTCTTTTCAATAATTGTTATATCAGGCATGTTATGGACAAGATGCCTGTCTGTTTGGATTATAAATCCCATAAGAACCTTGATGGCGCAGTGGTTAGAATGCAGTATTGCAAATAAACTCTGCCCACTGCCAGCAGTTCGATCCTGACCAACTCAGCCTTCCATCATTCGCAGGTCGGTAAAATAAGGACCCGGATTGTTGGGGGCAATATGCTGACTCTGTAAACCACTTAGAGAGGGCTGTAAAGCACTGTGAAGTGGTATATAAGTCTAAATGCTATTGCTATAAGTTCTTAACCTCCTCATTTTCCAAAACATTCTCAATTTGATGATTATAGCCAATTTGGGAAATTAATCAAACGTCAATTGTTCCATCCTTTTCTACAAAGACAGACATTTGTTCTTGTTTGTTAAATGATGAATTTTACTTTCATGCCATTAGTTGACAAAGCTTGCTCTTGAGCTGCTAAAATAAATTACTACTACTACTACTACTACTACTACTACTACTACTACTACTACTACTACTACTACTGTTATTATTGATCATCGCACAGTTAGCCAGATATTCAGACTCGATTTGGCATTTTTGTCCACCTATTGAATCCTCACCAAGGACCTAGGATAGGCAGATGTGGATGTTTGATTGTACTACAGATATTGTCGCAGGATGGAAGCAGTTCCTAATGGCAAATTTGTCAATGCCAATGGTGTTCAAGTGATGTTCCAGTTGTTTTGGGATTGCACCTAAGGTATCTATTACTATTGGTACTACCCTTGCTTGCTTTTGCCACAGTCTTTCTATTTCTATTTGTAGGTCTTTGTATTTTGTTATCTTCTCCAGTTCTTTCTCGTCTATTCTGCTGTCTCCAGGCACTGCTACGTCCACTCTCCAGACTTTTTTGTCTTTCTTATCAACACTTGTTAAGTCTGGGGTGTTATGTTGCAGGTGCTTGTCTGTTTCAATTCTGAAGTCCCACAGGAGTTTAACTTTATCATTTTCTATGATTTTCTCTATTTTATGATCCCACCAGTTCTTGCTTACAGGCAAATGATATTTCTTGCAGATCTTCTAATGCATCATTGTTGCTACTTTGTCATGCCGCAACAATGGTGCATCATCATCATCATCATCATCATCATCAGTTTCTGAGTTAATGTTGATTCCTGGCAACTGCCTGACACATCCTTGCCATTTTGTTCCCAAGATTTCAAAAGGGGTACACCACTGTCACTTCCCAGGGTTGAGAAAGAAGGACAGGTCCTAGGTCACCTGTAGATGACTTCATGCCTAAGGTGAGAACAAAACTCAAAATCTTCTGCTTTCTAGTCTGATGCCATTAACCACTGCACTAAACTGGAAGTAAATTTGTCTGGACCCGTTGGCGAACTTTTTGGGGCATCCCGGTTAAATCTTGCTGATGTTACCTGTGAACAGGCATGGTTTATAGTCTGGACATTTAAATATGATATTTGCATATTTGTCAATATCATTTGTATGATATTTGCATGATATTTCAAGTTGATGGACTATGGCCACGGTGAAGTATGAATGAAATTGTTTCTGGCAGCTAGCATACAGAAACAATTAGTTTCTAGTTTATTGATATGCAACCGCAATCAGTATGTGTCAGCTTTTGCTCTGAAAGATAATGATGAAGCTTTGGACAAGGATCAAATTTCCATTATAATAGTAAGGGCTCATCCAATGAAGCTGACTGGAAGGAGCTGTAGAACAGAAGTTCTTTCTAAAGCAAGGGTCCTCAACCTTGGCAACTTTAAGACTTCTGGATCTCAACTCCCAGAATTTCTCAGCCAGTAAAGCTGGCTGAGGAATTCTGAGTGTTGAAGTCCACAAGTCTTAAAGTTGTCAAGGTTGAGGACACCTGTTCTAAAGCCCAGAGTTGACCTGTGGGGTTTGTTGTCACAAGTTGGTTGTATTGGTTACTAACTTTTGATGGCTTTTAAGAGGAGTGGATAACTTTAAAGATGATGGGTCTACCAAGGGAAACACTTTGATGCAGTGGTTAAGGCATCAGGCTAAAAACCAGGAGAATGTCACTTCTAGATCCACCCATGAAGCTGACTGGGTGACCATGGTCCAGTTACTTTCTCTCATCCCTAAGAAGAAGGCATTGGTGGTAGTCTAGGTGGCCCATGAATTTTAATAATAATTGAGAGATGGTGGCTTTGGCCACATCTTGATTTGTTGACCCCCCCCCCCCCAGGAAGCCATAGATTTATATCCGGGCATTAATAAATTGGCAGTTTAATTTTCAGTCTCTTCCTAATTATTCCAATTATATAACTGGCTTTTGTTTTACAGAATTAACACACAATGATGCTTAGAAAACTTGGGGTGTGCTGACAAGGAGAGAAGGTTAAATATATGGCAATTGTTGAAGTTCAGCCAAGTGCTGACCATTAATAATAACAATCCTAATAAATAATCACCTAATAAAACTGATTTTCTATCACTCCGACATAGAACTGGCTATCTCCCTATTCATTTGTATTAAGGCCAGTCAAATCTTTGGCAGAAAAACAAATGATTTCTGGCTATATCTTTTTTTTTTTTTTACATGCAGGAAGGGAGGTGGGGGTTAGAATAATCTGCTACCAAAAATGAAACATCTGTTCTTTATTATCTCTCGCTTGTCCTCTTTGCAAAGAGATATTTCTCCACAGTGCCGTTAATCAGCATTCCTTGAGCCGGTCATGTTTTCAATAAGTGACATCTTTACAATAATTGCATTAATGGTTCCCCAATTAATTCACCCTGCCAGGCTGATGCATGACAGAAGAACAATAGGGGGTACTTGTGTGTGAAATTGCACACAAATTTGGAAGCGGCCAGCTGACAAAATCATTACAGCTGCTAAGCTGGCTGGACCTGAGGCAACACATAAAACAATGTTTGTGTTAGCTGCTGGGGTTCCATGCCAAGCCTGTTTCGTTGGTCCTGTTATTTAGGAAGAGTCTTATTCTTATGCTAAAGCAAACGAGCAATGATTGTGATATTCATACGACGCCACTTATTTGCATTAGAGAGATTACGTATTTTATATGCCACTGATCTAAGCAACCGTTATATTGCCTAAATTGGTCCTGTAGCCAATCAAATGGGTTTCCTAGCCTACTAGCTGGTCATATTTGATGATTAAATTTCAAAAACACACACATAAGCTTACATGTAAGAATGCTGTACAAAAAGCTGCTGTTGTTGGTCACTAAATGTATTCATTTAACAAATAACAGAATAAGTAATAGACTAGAATTGTTTTTGTCTACTGCAGTACCAGGCAAAGATGTTCTTTCTAGCATTTCCCCCCTTACTAGTTGATGAAAAAAAAAAATAGCTTTTGAACAAGAAGAGAAAGTTGGGGACATTCTCAGGATTGGGTTCTGCTGTTCCAGCACTTCAAAGTGACCAGGTGGTCAAGGCAGAGTTGTGAATGGCTTCAATCTCATTGCAGTATCTCTCATCAACCATTTGAAGCCCTCATGACTTTTGCTGCTTCCATGAAGATTTAAGGCAGTGGTTCTCAACCTGTGGGTCGGGACCCCATTTGGGGTCGAACGACCATTTCACGGGGGTCGCCAAACAAGGCTGTCTGCCATTTTTTCCCCTTTTCTTTGGCCACGCCCCTTGCACCCGGTGATGTATAAGTGGTTGGGGGTCACCACAACATGGGGAACTGTATTATGGGGTCGCGGCATTAGAAAGGTTGAGAACCACTGATTTAAGGAGAACCTCAAGTGGGAACTCCTAGAACACAGAATTCCAGGGCTGGAAGGGACTTTGGGGATCTTCTAGTCCAACCTCCTTCTCAAGGCAGAAGACCTTATACCATCCTGATCAAATGGTTGTCCAGTCTACTTTTGAAAATCTCCAATAATGGAGCACCGACAGCTCCAGGAGTCAAGCTGTTCTATTAATTGTTCTCACTGTCAGGTTGGATCTCTCTTTAATAAGCATCCGTCTATTGCCTCTTGACCTGCCTCTGGTGCTTTGGAGAATAAGTCAATCCCCTCTTCTCTGTGGTAGCCCTTCAAGTACAAGAAGACAATTATCATGTTCCCCCTTAATCCTTCTCTTTGATAGGCTGGACAGACCTAATTCCCTTAATTCTTTCTAGGCTCTAGACTAGAGGGATTCTACTGTCTCTGCTGGAGGGAATTCTCCCTTTGAGGAATGGTTGAAGACTTTCTGCAGAAACTGTCCATACAAACTATCTAGATGCACATTTGGTGGAGAAATTTGAAAAGTCAAGAGTGAACTTGCTGGTATGAGTGACATTCTACTTCCAAATCACACTACTATTCCTACCATTCGCAACACAGATATCCTTTTTGCTATGATAGCATCACAGGCTATCAACTGGATGCTACGTTTGCAATGACCTGGTAGTTCTGAACTTTTGTTGACAATCCAGCCTGGCGCTAGAATAGGGATAGGTAGCAGTAGAAATTGTGGTAGAAATAGTGATAGGAGACATGTTCTTAATAATACCAACCATAACAGTATCGATCTTGAATATTTGTTTTTGGTCCATAGGCCAACTCAGTGTATGGTCCTTCTGCTTCACACTTTGTCTGGCCTTACACCCAAGAAGAAGAAACTAGAGACTTACCAAGGACAACAAGTTGGATGGTGAGATTTTTATGGAGACCATATTTCGGGTTGCTCAAATTTAGGGTAAAATTCCCAGCATGCTTCGGTCTCACATCCCTGATGACTATCCTGTACCTCTCAGACTCTAAGTCATAGCAGTCATTGCCTTTAATCTGATGGCCATCTTTGTACCTGTTTGGACCAGAAAGATGGGAATGAAAAACAGCTGAGACAAAGGAAGAGAGGGGATCACATTTCAGAGCAAATTTAATTTTTAAATTTTAATTCAGAGCTACATATTCTGGAAGTTCAGGATAGCTCCCTCTCCTCTCTGCCCAAGTGGGATGCTTCCCACTCATCCACGAATCACATTGATCCCACAGTAAATTCTCAGTACAGGTAGTCCTCGACTTACAACAATTTGTTTAGTTATAACAGCACTGAAAAAGTGACTTAGGACCATTTTTCACACTTACGACTGTTGCAGCATCCCCATGATCACGTGATCAAAATCCAGATGCTTGGCAACGGACTCGTATCTATGACCATTGTTGTGTCCCAGAGTCACGTGATCCCCTTTTGCGACCTTCTGGCAGGCAAAGTCAACGGGGAAGCCGGATTCACTTAACAACCGTGTTCCTAACTTAACAACTGCAGTGATTCACAACAGCTGTGGCAAGAAAGGTCGTAAAATGGGGCAAAACTCACTTAACAAATGTCTCACTTAGCAACACAAGTTGGGGCTCCAAAACAAAGCATTAAAGCTCTAATTTTTGCATGATGTATTGCAATATAAGAGAGGCAGGTTGGTCTAGTCCAGGGGTGGGGAACCTTGGCTCTTTTATGACTGGTGGACTTCAACTCCCAGAATTCCTGAGCCAGCCATGCTGAGGGGAAAGGGAGAGGTTTCCAAGCTGAGCCATGCTGGCTCAGGAATTCTGGGAGTTGAAGTCCACGAGTCATAAAAGAGCCAAGATTGCCTACCCCTGGTCTAATAGTTAAGGCACCAAGCTAGAAAGCAGAAGATGGTGAGTTCTAGTCCTGCCTTATCATAAAAGCCAGCTGGGTGACTTTGAGCCAATCACCAGGTGACAGTAAGTTCTAGTCCCACTTTAGCATGAAAGCCAGCTGTGGGGCTTTGGACCAGTTCTTCTCTCTCAGCCCAACCCACCTCACAAGTTATTGTGGGGAAAATAGGAGGAGGAAGGTGTGTTGGATAATACTGGCCATCTAGATTTATTTGCAAAAATAACAAAGGTTAGATATAAATAATATAGATAGATAGATAGATAGATAGATAGATAGATAGATAGATAGATAGATAGATAGATAGTCAAAATTATTAAGATGGTGGCTATGATGGTGTCATAGATTTGTATCCTATGTGTGACTCAGTTGCCAGCTTGATTTTTCAACTATGCACTATGGACATGGCTGAAGACTATCCATCCAAGAATTAGAGAACTGAAATCAGACTGAAGTAAATTTATTCAGCATTAAACCACCGTGCTATTTGCAGTGGAGGATGGATAGGGAAGAGAAACATATCAACGTTGCAGCATAATCCAATTTTCTTTCTGCTCCTGTTGGCAAGGGATTGAAAACTGTGCTGGCAAATTTAGGGGGAAAGAGGTTTTTAAACACTGTTTTTCCATCCTTCGGAGTTCAAGAATGGGAGAGTGTGAGGCAATGATTAGTGTCAGTTGCAGGACTCAGGAGGCATCACCATTTTGTGGGTCTGCTGGAGGCATGGAAGAGCTATGGAATTTCTTCCTTGGTCACCTTGATTCCTTGGTCACCTTCTCTGATGCTTGTATTAACTCAGAACTCTGTTCTTAGGTAGATAAGGCCTGGAGTTTGGATATAGAATAACAGAATAACAGAGTTGGAAGGGACCAAGGCAGGAAACTAGACCATTCCAGACAAATGGCTGTCCAATCTCTTCTTAAAAGCCTCCAGTGATGGTGTACCCACAACTTCTGGAGGCCAGCCATTCCACTGATTAATTGTTCTGTCAGGAAATTTCTCCTTAGTTCTAGGCTGTTAAGCAAATCACTGCGGATGTTAAGTGACTCATACAGTCATTAAGCAAATCCGGCTTCTCCTGTTGACTTTGCTTCTCATAAACTGGCTGGGAAGGATGGAAATGGTGATCACATGACTCTGGGATGCTGCAATCGTTGTAAATGCATGCCAGTTGACAAGAGCCCAAATTCTGATCACATGACTGTGGGGATGTTGCGACGGTCATAAGTTTGAGGACTAGTCATAAACCACTTTTTTCACTACCACTGTAACTTTGATCAGTCACTATTGAACAATTGTTAAGTTGAGGGCAACCTGCACATAAAACAGCTAACAGATTGAATGAAAACCTACAGCAGTAAAAACTGACTAGGGAACATATTTAAGCCCATTTTGTTAGCTCCTGGAAACTGTTTTCTAAGGAGCGATGAGTGTTCACGAAGAAATAGCTCAGTCTGCCAAACAGATTTCTTCCACGCTGTGGCCCTGCACATTTCATGTGATGGAAAAGAAACTGCTTTTAAAATGTTTTGCGAAGGAGAAGAACATTTTGTGAAATGGCTGAGATGAGTCACTGGATATTTGCACAGAACACAGTTCTAAGTGATCTAAGACAAAAGAGGTGACACACATATCCCGTCCTTTACTGATTTATGATCTGCAGGTTTATTGATTTATTTGTATCCCGTGTTTATTCAATTCCAAGGGAAGATGTCAGTTGGAAGGTCCTCCAGAAGAGCCATTTTAAGTCAGGAAGCAAATGCAGCCAGAGAGAAAGGATTGTAAAGGACTAGGATGGAAATAGAGGGAATGACCCTATGAATGTGGTCCTCATGAAACAATAAACTAAACTCAGGAACAATCTAGAGGGATCCTATAGCACCCCAAATGTGTGCTGAGAAAGGAAAGCCTGTCTTCTCTTGGTAGACAGATGGATTTTGATATGAAGATACACAAGGGGAGCTTTACTGAATAGCATAGGGCATTGGTTAAAGGGGGGGGGGGCTTGGACCAAGAACATCCAGGTTGAATCCTTCATTTATTACCAGATCTCTCAGGGCAACCATCCTTATAGATCACATTAGAGGAAATTATCTACAAATTATGCAAGATGAAAGAAAAAAAGGAAGGAAGGAAGGAAGGAAGGAAGGAAGGAAGGAAGGAAGGAAGGAAGGAAGGAAGGAAGGAAGGAGTAGAGAAAGGAGGAGGAGGGAAAGGAGGAGGAGGAAGAAGAAGAAGAAGAAGAAGAAGAAGAAGAAGAAGAAGAAGGAAGTAGTAGTAGTAGTAGTAGTAGTAGTAGTAGTAGTAGTAGTAGTAGTAGTAGTTTAGGAGCCCCTACTTAGTGCTTACCAAATCACAGCAGGAGGAGGGAAGGCATCCACCTTCCAAGCCAGCTTCTGTACTTTTTGTCCTGCATTGGCCTCATAATACACATGTTGCCGCTTTTTTACGAAATTAATGAAAGCTTGTGCTTCAATAAACAAGAAAAAAGAATAACAGTTAACTCCTCGTTTGCTTTGCAAAACCATCACATTTTTTTTTTGCTGGACATCAAAATAACACATGCAAAAGATAACAAATCAGAAAAAAAAAGACAACCAGGCAGATGTGAAATGGGGAAAAAAAACCAAGAAAGGGAGTGGCCACGGTTACCTCTTTTTCCATATGTGTGGTGACATTTTATTAATTTGACTCTGAGGTACAGTTTGATCTGCAAGCTATTGTGAAGCCGATCCGATGTATGAAAGCAACAGGGACATTTTAGCAACACCTAAGTGAAGGGCTGGCGAAGGCAATAATAATATACAGGCACTATCTTTTCTGGACAGTATTTCTTTTAACTCTTGAATTAATGGTGTTTTTTTTTTTCATAGCACACAATCCATTTTTTTTCCTGACCCACAACTGGGGAATGACTAAAACATATCAATAGTACATAGCAGCAGATGGTCCATGACAATGAAAGGTGATTTCTGTTTGATTTCAGCTGTGAACAGGACAGCTTTCAAAGTGACAACACACTACGAAACATCTCTGGAATTTCTTGAAGATATTACAAGAATGAAAAGGTCTATCATTCCTTGGGGTGTACAGATAGTCCTCAACCTACAACAGTTCAGTTCATGACCGTTCACAGTTACAACGGCACTGAAAAAAAGTGACTTATGACCATTTTTTGCACTTATGGCTGTTGCACTGTTCCCCCTGGTCATGGGATCAAAATTCTGACGCTTGGCACAATCGACTCATATTTATGACGGTCGCAGTGTTTGGGGTCACGTGATCCCCTTTTGCGACCTTTTGACAAGCAAAGCCAATGGAGAAGCTAGATTTACTTAACAATTGTGTTAGTAGCTGAACAACTGCAGTGATTCACTTAACTGTGGGAAAAAAGGTCATAAAATGGGGGAAAAGTTCACTTAAGAAATGTCTCACTTTGCAACAGAAATTTTGGGCTCAGTTGTGGTCGTAAGTCCAAGGGAACAATCTACCTGCTGCTACACATCCTGACTGCAGCTAGGCTCGCTTTTGTGCCAAAATGGAAGAGCAAGGAAATTCCCACAGAGGAAGAGTTAATACATAAAATATTAGCATGTGCGGAAACGGACAGGCTCACAATGATATTAAAAAACAAATGTGGATCAGTTTATTATGAAACCTGGGATAAATTTTACCGCTGGAGGAATTCGAAGAGGACGGTTGGGATTAAAGATGAATGTTAAGATAGAAATATATGTTATTTTAGAATAAGTATTGTATATAAAACTTAGATGTATATGTAGAGATGAAGAATTGATTGTAAAAAGTGGAATAATCTGATAGGAATGTATATACTGGAATGTCACGTTAAATCCAATGTTTGTTTGTTTTTAACTGTATTATAAATAAAATTTGAAAAAGAAAAAAAATTATGGTCATAAGTCAAGGACTACCCGTACTTTCAAGCTATACATAGGTGCAAGTTTAGAATACTTGTGAGATTTTGCCTGGAGCGACCTGCTTGAGGTCTAAAAATAAGGGTAGCATGATGGATATTGAGTCTAAACCACAGAAGAAGTGATATAAGCCAGAGTTTCTCAACCTGAGCAACTTTAAGCTGATGGACTTCAATTCCCAGAATTCCCCAGCCAGTTCTGTTGGCTGAGGAATTCTGGGAGTTGCAATCCATACACCTTAAAGTTGCCCAGGTTGAGAATCACAGGTATAAGTCATTGAGAAGTTGTTGGAACAGAGGAAACTACTTATTTTTAGCCACTAATGTTGACAATTTTTTTTAAAAAAATAGACAGCACCCAACTCCAAGTTTCAGGGTAAGTTAACTGAGCTGAGGAAATTGAAAATGCTGAAACCGATGATGCCTCAGGTGGCTATTTTAAGTTAACCCTGAGTTGAAAGGATTGTGGAGGGAGCTATATTCGTTCTGGAGGGTCTTATCAGCAAGGAGAGGTCTCCTAAAACGGTGGCGCCAACAAACTAGAAACATATCAGTTTGCAGAAAAGTGGCACGTTTCTCTTTGGTTCTCCCATTTTTGAGGTCATTTCTTACTGAATATTGTGACCGTAGTGTTGATTTCAATGCCTCCTTCACCCTTACTGAGCACTTTGCATATGTAATGTCCTTTGTCTTCCATTGTAACATTGGTGATAGTCACTTTACTAGAGGCTTTGTACACGGAGAGACTCTGATCAAAATACCTTTGTATCCTTACTTCCTAGAAGAGAAAAAGAGAGAAGCACAGAAAAATTTGCACCGAGCTCAGTTCAAAATCCCCCCAATAAAAAGCCGTTAATGGGGAATATCGTGGTATCTTTTGCTAGATGCCTGTATGGTAGGCTTGTTGGGAGTAGATACCAAGAGTCTTAGAAAGTGACTAGAGCAGGGGGTCCCCAACCCCCAGTCCTTGGACCAGCACCGGACCGCAGAATGCCAGAAACCAGGCTGTGCAAACAAGGGAACCCCCATCCACGGGATGTAGGCAGCACGGAAACCACGCCCACTCCAGTCTGCAGAAAAACCTCTCTCCATGGAACCGGCCCCTGGTGCCCAAAAGATTGGGGGCCACTGGACTGGGGGGGGGCTTCTTTCCAAAATGGGACAACTTGCCACAGCCAACTCGCTGCGGTCAACTCACCACAGCCAGCTTTCCATGGGACAACTCACCGCGAGACAATTCAACAATTCAATTTAATTATTTTAAATTATTTAAAACATATTTTAATTTGTGCCATTCACATTTCATTTTGTCCCTCCTTTTGCATTCTTTCTTTAATGATTCCATTTCACCCTTTCTCTGATATTAATGTCGTGGAAAAACCCGATGGAAAAGACAAGAGACAGCAACACAAAACAATAATTCTTACTTTAAGATTCAGAGGTTTATTTTGCTAATGATTTGGAACATAGCAAGCATAATAACACAACCTCACTTACATTAATAACCCATTGCAATGAGGACCATATGGTATAGCAGATTCCAAAAGGACAGCTATAGGCCAACAGCAAATCAGTCAGGTCCAGTCCCAACCCTTATACCCTTTCTCGTTCTAAAACTGTAGTCAGATGGTCTGCTGACTTTTGCTGACTTCTGCTGACCTCCTGCTACCCGTGTACGTTGGAACCCGCATCCATCAGCTACTTTCAGTTCCTCTTTTCCCACAATTACAATACTCATGTTCCAAATATACACAGAACTATCTACTTTGCAGTTTCATATTGCACAAAGCTCAGCAGATTACAAATAGTACGTCTTACTAAGAAACAGCATAAAGTTCAAGTTAAAGCTTCAAATCACTTCTGTGGGGGCCTATTTCAGGTTTCTTCTAGCCCTATCTTATTATTTGAGAAGGGGGCTATATTTTCATCTCCCACATTAGTATAACTTGTTCCGCAGTGAGTTGTCCCACAGTGAGTTGGCTGTGAGGAGTTGGCTGTGGTGAGTTGTCCTGGACTCCCTTCTTTCTGTTTTAGTGCTTAAAACAGGGGTCTCCAACCTGTGGGCCACTCCCACTACTGGGCCATGGCCTCCTGGCCACCAGGCCATGAGACAGGCTGACCAGTGCACACATGTGTGTGCGTGCACTCACCCCCACTCGTGCTAGCGCCATGGCTGTGGTGTGGCAAAAACAAGGTGCGGGGTAGTGAAAATGGGTCACGGGGTGGCGAAAACGGGCCATGGTGAAAATGGGGCAGGGCTAGCAGATGTCATGTGGGTACTAGCCCCACCCCATTTGCATTGTGCACATGCTTGCGGCCCTGTTTGTGTGCATAACTCAGGGGTCCTCAAGCTTGGCAACTTTAAGACTTGTGGACTTCAACTCCCAGAATTCCTCAGCCAGCTTTGCTGGCTGAGGAATTCTGGGATTTGAAATCCACAAGTCTTAAAGTTGCCAAGGTTGAAGACCCCTGACATAACTGCTTCCACCTCCCTTTCTCTCCGGTCCGCCAACCGAGAAAGACTGGAGACCTCTGGCTTAAAAGACTATACCACCAAGTCCTTCAAGAAGTAATTTTCTTTTCTGGAGTTTTATGGATCAGACAACACTGAGAAATCCCTGAGGACAATCCAGGAGTTATTTGAAAAAGAGAGCCCTTCCTTTCAAGTGTTCTGCACTGCCACAAACATTTTGATCTGTTTTTCTAACTTTAAAATGTAGTGTTTGTTTAGGGGTTATTAATCATCCTTTCCATGCTAATTTATATGGAACCAAGCATTTCCAATAGAGCTATGCTGATGTACAGGTAGTCCTCAATTTACGACGGTTCATTTAGGGACTGTTCGAAGTTACAGCAACATTGAAAAAAAGTGACTTATGACCGCTTTTCACACTCACGACTATTGCAGCCTCTCCATGATCATGTGATCAAAATTCAGACACTTGGCACAACTGACTCCTATTTATGACGGTTGCAGTGTTTGGGGTCATGTGATCCCCTTTTGTGACCTTTTGACAAGCAAAGTCAATCAATCTGTTTATTACAGCCGTGAGGCCAGACATAATCAAAATGTATAGCAAGAGTAGCAATTTTATTTCCATATTTACAGGATATAAAACCACCAAACAATCAATATAATATAATCCAAAATTCTCAAAATAAAACATCATATTAATTTTTTTTCCAGACCTTAATAATGGTGCAACGTATTGTGCAAATGGTGGCACAAAATTGAATTGATATTTTCAGATCATTATCCAAAAGTAGCAACTTTAGATAAAATTCATATCCCCTGCCTGGAAATTTCTTCAATATCGGATATATTGAAGAGGAGAGGTGGCGCAGCAGTTAGAGTGCAGTACTGCAGGCCACTTTACCTGACTGTGTTCAGCAGATCAGCGGTTCAAATCTCACCGGCTCAAGGTTGACTCAGCCTTCTATCCTTCGGGGGTAGGTAAAATGAGGACCCAGATTGTTGGGGGCAATGTAAATATATATATATACATTGCTTACTGGTGTACACCGCTTAGAGAGTGCTTGCACTTAAAGCGGTATATAAGTCTCATAAACAAAATAAAATAAATAAATATAAGAATCTGTCTAGAGCAGTGTTTCTCAACCTTGACAATTTTAAGGCATGTGGACTTCAACTCCCAGAATTCTGGGAATTGAAGTCCACATGCCTTAAAATTGTCAAGGTTGAGAAACACTGGTCTAGAGTCTTTATATAAAGAGCAATGAAGCAACATATGGCTTAGAGTTTCTATAGAGCCATACCAAGCAAAGTCAATGGAGAAGCTGGATTCACGTAACAACCGTGTTGCTAACTTAACAACTGCAGTGATTTACTTAACACTTGTTGCAAGAGTGGTCGTAAATTGGGGCAAAACTCTCTTAAGAAATCTCAAATGTTGGGCTCAATTGTGCTCATAAGTCCAGGACTGCCCCTTAGTCCACAAATGGCAATTGAATGGTTATTTAGGAAAGCTAGCAAACATTCAGCAGATCCATTTCTGAAGAACCAAGGAAACAAATCTTCAAAAAAGAGAAACGCACTCTGAGTAGGCCAAGGCCTTCCCTCAGCTAAGAAACCCACTGAAACGACTCACCCTTTTTCTTGGAAATGTCCATTTAAATTCTAACCGTCCACCCCAGAATGTCTGCCCTTTGCATTCCAAGTTAAGGGTTTCTCCAACCAAGAGTTTTTTGGGAGTTGCTTTCACTTCCACATTCCAAATCCGTGCCTCTAAAAGAAGTGAGAAAGTCAGCGATCAAGCATCTACTCCAGCAACATTGAGGATCACGTACAAAATCTACATGTTTGATGGCCCTTCACTCGTATCTTTTAATGGGGAGCATCTAATACAGGGGTCTTCAAACTTGGCCCTTTTATGACTTGTGGACTTCAACTCCCAGAATTCCTCAGCCAGCATGCCCGGCTGAGGAATTCTGGGAGTTGAAGTCTACAAGTCATAAAAGGGTCAGGTTTGAAGACCCCTGATCTAATACAAGCATTTGGTAGAACTTCGAGCAGTGTTTATAATCCATTTAATTTCCATAACTGGAATCAGGTTGAGGGCAGAATATAGTCCAGCACAGTGGTGGGATTCAGCCAGTGGTGGGATTCAGCCAGTGGTGGGATTCAGCCAGTTTGCACCATTTCAGCAGAACCGGTAGCTAATTTTTTGTTGCCAAGGCCCAGAATGGACTTCCGGAAGCGGCATCCACACAAAGAACGGTTGTTCACATATTTGAATCCCATCACTGGTCCAGCAGTGAAAAATTATGTTCAAAAAGGATGTTTTCACCACCTAAAGCAAAAGTAGTCAGGTACTCACCCATTCTCTGGGTCAAGTAATATGTTTCATATTGTATCTCGTTGATTGTAACAACACACTTGATCATTTTAGCAAAGAACTCAGTGGAGGGTGAAGTGATAATGAATCCTTTCTTTGGGTCCCATTCCTTCTTCTCATAGGTGAGAGGGGTGGAGGATTGATGCTAAAGAAGAAAAAGGAAACATAAAGATAGTACTTTTTGTTTGAGATAAAGCTACAGAGGATATAATTAAGGTAAATCTACAGTAGATGTAATTAAGATAAAGCTACAGTGGATATAATTAAGAAGCGTTCAAGCTGTTTTGATCTTGAAATGTCCCAAACCAGAGCTGTCCTGTTCTAATCTTGAGGGAGACATTCTAAGGCCCATTCCAGTTTTTCTGAAAATGTTTAGACATCAGATGTGCCTCTCACAGACTTAGTAGAAGTGGCCCAGCGTCAAAACAGGCAATTTCGAACTCCATTCAGCAATTGGAATAGGGTATTTGGGATCATTTCTGGCAATGTCAGAACATCATATTCCCAAAGATGGGAGGCTGTAAAATCTCTAACTGTAGGAGAAGGAGGAGCTGAATCTGAGATCAGAGTTAAAAGAGGGATCAGTCTAGAATCTCTATATAGCCACAGGAGGATTAAGTCCAACTTCCCTTGAATTTCATTGACTCTTATCTAGCTCCAAGCAAGCGCTATCTCATACATGAAGGCGACTATATGTGTCCCGGGATAATGTTGCACGATCCAACCTGGGTCGGTCACTGGGACCAAAGGTTTAGTCTTCTGAGCTTTCAGACTGGTGCTGGGCCCATTCTCAGGGAACTTTTCTCTACCAGAATGTCTTGATGGGCTCCAGCATGAGTCCAAAAGCTCGAAAGACTAAACCTCTGGTCCCAGTGACTGACCCAGATTGGTTCCTGCAAGTGTTAACCATGAGTTGAGAATATTCCTGTGCATAGGCATAATGTCATGGTTCCGACAGACAGAGACAAATAAAGCAGAACTCTGAGGTTTGCAAATTCCTCAAAGAACATGTTTATTAGTTGCAAAGTAGCGGCATGTCAAAAGTGAAAGCAAGTCTGGATACACATGTAACAATTACCCAATACAAAGTTTAAAGTCCCACCCATAATACTATGCAAGCAACTACATTCCCCAATGTGATTATTTGATGGGCTTTTTGCATTACGCCCAGCCTGCAGTCTCGGGCGCAGCCACTGACCTTGGTTCCCACAGGACAAAAGATTATTTTGACTAATGAAGCAACTGGGCAACCCCCCCCTCTCTGCTCTATGTGGCAACCTAGAATGAGAAGGAAAATGGCTGCAGCCATGTTCATTTGTAGAGTTGACACAAGAATAGCAACAAATCAGTTTAACTGGGCCTTTACATGAGGACCAGGTCTTTTATGCTTGATATGAGTTCAGTTCTGTTCAGACTCATCTCTTGTCTCTATTTCTTCACTTAAGGAGCGATAAATCACTCATTGTAGTTCTCCAATTCAATCACTGTCATTTTCAAATACAATCTCAGAGATTCTGCCTGAGATTCTGCATTGACTCGACTGTTGCCAGTCAAAGTCAAGAACACTGAATTATACCGACTAATGGATCAAATCAGTGGCTCTGTTTGTCCAATACATCATGACCATAAACTAACCCAGTATTTCTCAACTTTGGCCATTTTAAGTTGGGTAGACTTCAACTCCCAGAATCACAATGGCTAAGTGCAGTGTGCAATACTGTTATCATAAGCTAGCTAGGTATGATCTGAATCTATATGACTTATTTTGGGCCCCATGCCTTATTTCAAGAGAGGGTTATTTCAAGAGAGAGTTTTAAAGGCATGTGCAGAGTAGCTAAGTAACAAAGATAAATTTAAGCAGCCAAGGATTCTGTGATAGTTTTTGGTTAGCAGCAAAAAAAGAAGAGGAAAAACTTCTGGGTGGACCTGCATAGTAGATATCTGTCCTAATTTCACCATCCTCATTGATTTTGGTTGGTGGAATGGTGAATAGATACTAGTCAGTCTTCAAGTTAGTCATTAGAACATAGCCATTCTGGCTTATAAACCATTACCCTTAGCTTAGTGCAGGGGTCTCCAAACTTCACAATTTTCAGACTTGTGGACTTCAACTCCCAGAATTCTGGAAGTTGAAGTCCACAAGTCTTAATGTTGCCAAGTTTAGAGACCCCTGGCTTAGTGTAACAATTGTTATTTCCTTTTCCAGGATGACAATCTGCTATGAACTACAGGTTGCATGTGTATCTGGTTCTTGTACAAGCAGCTCCACTGCATCTTGCAAAATCTTGCCTAGATAGACAAGTATTCTATGTTCCTGGAACAAAAAGCAGATAGGTAAGTCCTCCTCAACAGGAAGGGCTTTCAGTCAATTTCCTGTTCCAGCTGATTTGGGCTGGAACAGCAAGGATATCTGGAATCTTGCCAAGTCCTCTGTAGTTTGACGTGCTTCACTTCTCACTTCCAGGGTCCTCCTTCATGCCCTATTATGAACTTTGTCTCCCATACCTGCAAGGTCCAATCATGCTGCCCAAAAACTACAGATATCACCATCACTGAGACCTGTTCTTCCAACCTGTGTCCTATATAATTCCCTGCTTTCAGCCTGGAAAAGACAACATGGGATGGTGCTTCATGTTAAGCCAAACTATTCATTCTCCTATGTTGGCTGCAGCTTGAAGAGGACCTTGGATTGGAAGTCAGGGCCTTGAAGTTGCCGAAGAACAATCAGGCAACCTAAGGGTGATATTAAGAAGCCAGTATTTTAAAACATTGTGTAGTCACAAAAGTTTATAATTTGTAGTCTTACAAATCTGTGCCATACAATAGTGCTATTTTTCAAGGGAATGTAGTATAGAATAAGGGCAGAATTCCAATTTCATTCTCTTGCTGGGGGTGGGGATAGAGGGGGTGGTGTGTTGCCTTTTATCCAGTTGAAATAGAAATCATTTGTCTTCTAGGTAGTTCTATAATGGAGGAAAAGAAACTACATAGAAGAAATAGCATGTATTTCTTGTTTATTGGAGCCTGACTCTCTCTCTCTCTCTCTCTCTCTCTCTCTCTCTCTCTCTCTCTCTCTCTCTCTCTCTCTCTCATCCATCCATCCATCCATCCATCCGTCCATCATGTTAGCTATCTAGCTATCAATCTCTAATCTCTAATGTCTGCCTGTCTGTCTTTCTATCTCTCTGCCCCCCTTCAAATTTTGCAATAAAAAATAGAGTCTGGAAAGATTTTTTTCCTTTTAGAAGTTAATTTCATTTATTTACTGAATAATGGACTTGCCAATTTATGAGGTTACAGTTGTAAAATGCAAAGAAAGGAAAGCTTAATTGGCTGCATCGCCATTTTAGATAGAAGGTTATTCCTAGTTTTCAGTCAGAAGGAACATCTAGTGGAACATGTTAAAAAAGATGAATTCGGTATCCCAAAGTGGGCTGGAGTTGGCAGCATTAAAATGGAACACATTTTTGAAAATGAAAAAGATCCATGATCCTGTGATTGAAACTCCACCCATTTCTATGGGCAACCCAGGTAAAAAATTGGGGAAAGGTTTTTGATATTGTGAGCCTCCTTGATATATATATATATATTTAGTTCTTTTCCCTTTCTCTTCCCTGCTCCAATGAATCCTTTTTCTATATTAATAGCATTTATTGTCATGGCAGATTAGGGCAAATTTAGATGATTCTGAACATCCTAACTTCCTTTTTGAGGTTTTCTCAGGCCCCACAGGGAGGGAAAGCCCACACGGTTTTGTTCCACATTAATTTTACATATACAGTGTATATATATTGTGTGTATATTCAAAAGCCTGAATTTCAAGCCCATCTTGAGAACTAATCGGAATCAGCTGACGTGAGGAATGAGCTGATGAGCATTAGCAACCCATCGAATTTCCCATAAATATCTAAGGAGGATACAGTGCAGTCATTTTAAAGTATAATGCAAGCATCAGAAATGTAATTTAGAAGGGGGAAAGTGTATTGTTTCAGGGATCGTGAAACAGAATGGTGCTGCATATTAAAACTCTGCATTTGCGGATCCCCGAGGATCAGATTTAAAATATATACCTACAGAAATACTGCATATAGATATGATATAGATACACACACACACACACACACACACACACACGTATTCCACATATTAAATGAAGTTGATTGTGCAACATTCAAAAGTTGTTATGAAAGGAGAAGAGGAAACTGCAGTTGATTTTACCCCAATCTTCAAAAGACCCCTGGTGCTATTTTTCTCCCTCGCTTTCCTGCAGTTTTATCACTGAGCAGTTATTAAATTTGGAGGAGGATGTTCTAAATTTGTCAAATTGTCGGGCTCCTTCCTTCCCTTCAGTTTCCTGTCAGTAAAGGAAGCCGCCAACCTGGCTCCACAAGTAGTATTTCCAGACAAGGCCAAAATAACAAGCCGTCTTTCCTTAAATGGGAACAGAAAGATGGGTGCCCAAGGTAAACACACCTCCGCAGAAAGACTTATCCGCTCTTCTGGAGATGTTTGTCAAGCCAGGGGAAGAAACACCTTCCTTTGGGGGGATCTGAATGTCAGCCTCCCCCACCCCTGATGTCTCTTTCAAAGGAGGAAGTCTTTGGTCCAGACGCCCCAGCAGCCCGAAATGGAAACATCTACCCATCCTTCTGAAAGTCTAGGATGTGGTCCCAGTTCAAGACCAAGCAACAGATGGAAAAAGTTTGACTCAGCTCCCAGAGATGGGAAAAGATCAGAAATCAGGCATCTGAACTCCTTGCCCTTTCCTCAAGGAGACGTTATCTTCAGGTTTCAGAGAAGCCGCTAGGCTGGTATTAATTCTCTATACATTTCAACAAAAGTCAACAGAGACGTTAAGCCAACACTTACAAGAAGCCAACGCTCTTGCTACACCAGCCAAGAAGGAGAGAGAAGGAAAAAAGAGAGAGTCAAGAATGGGTTTAATTTCAATATTATGAAAATGTGTGTGTGTGTGTGTGTGTGTGTGTGTGTGTGTGTGTGTGTGTGTGTGTGTGTTTTGGACCGAGTACTTTATGGAGGGAAGTTGCTCTCTTCATAAAAAAAAAAAGTAATGCTTCACCTCAACATTAAAACTAAAGAAGTTTCCCATTCTTGGCAAATTTTATTATTTTGGCAGCTACTAAATGTTATGAATAAGATGCCTCCACTGTTATCCATCAAACACTACCAAATCCCATTGTCTGTTTAGTGCTACTAGAGCAGTGATTCCCAACCTTTTCTACACCCCGTGCCCCTATAACAGGGGTAGGCAACCTTGGCTCTTTTATGACTCGTGGACTTCAACTCCCAGAATTCCTGAGCCAGCCATGCTGAGGGGAAAGGGAGAAGTTTTCAAGCTGAGCCATGCTGGCTCAGGAATTCTGGGAGTTGAAGTCCATGAGTCATAAAAGAGCCAAGGTTGCCTACCCCTGCCCTAGAACACTTCTGATATATTTATTTATTTATTTATGAGACTTATATACCGCTTTAAGTGCAAGCACTCTCTAAGCGGTGTACACCAGTAATCAATGTATATATATATATTTACATTGCCCCCAACAATCTGGGTCCTCATTTTACCTACCCCGGAAGGATGGAAGGCTGAGTCAACCTTGAGCCGGTGAGATTTGAACTGCTGACCTGCTGAACACAGTCAGCTAAAGTGGCCTGAAGTACTGCACTCTAACTGCTGCGCCACCTCGGCTCTGTCTATATTCTCGCACCCCTTACAAAAGTTCAAAATAATGGCAAAAAATTATGCATATAAACTATAATTTTGAAAATCCAAGTTTTCGCGCTTCCTGGAATATCATCTCGTACCCCCGGGGGTTTGAGCACCCCTGGTTGGGAACCCCTGTCCTAGAGCATCAAATACCGTCCCATAACAACTCTAAAACCTATTGTAAATACCAACAATCAAACAATGAGACAAAATGACCATTATTAGTCTGTATTCGAGACTTTGAGACTGGCTGAAGATCATTTAATATAAAAAAACAGCTACTAAGAAGCCAGGGGTGACTTCTAGAAAAAAAATCTGGCCCATGAAAAGAGTATGAAGCAACTTAATAGACATGATTATACTCTTTGATAGAGTAGAGCATTCCACTTATTTGTCAGCTATTTTACTCCAGAGAAAGAGTGACCTGTGAGTTAAAGCTACATGACAGCAAACTCAGGTATGGTAGGACAAATTTTATGGTGGTCTTCCTAAACCTGTTCCATTGCTGGAGGCAGAGAAAGGGCTACAGATGTACAGCAGCATTTTCTGTTATGTATATCTGCATCACTTTGAAACTTCCCAAGTTGCCCATGCATCCAGTCTGAAAAAACCTCGTGAGGTCTTCTTCTGAGATTGGAAGAAAGGCGAATGGAAGCCAGGGAAGCTGTAGGCCACTGAGAGGACAGTACAACAAAAGGAAGGACAATCACACACAATCCTTAGAATCATAGAATTATAGGACTGGAAGGAAACTTCAAGGTATTCTAATCCATCCTCCTTCCCAAGGTAGGAATCCTTATACTATCCTGGACAAATGGTTGTCCAATCTTGTCTCAAAAACCTCCCATGATGGAGCAGTCACCAGGAGGCAATCTGTTCCACTGATTTAATGGTTCTCACTATCAGGAAATTCCTCCTTAGTTCTAGGTTGGATCCCCCTCTGATGAGCTTCCACTCATTGCTTCTGGTCCTGTCCTCAAGATGCTTTGAAGGACAAATCAACCCCGACTTCTTTGTGATTGCCGCTCAAGCACTGGAAGACTGCTATCATGTCACCCCTTATCTTTCCCTTCATTAGGCTGGACATACCTAGTTCTGAGGGGTCCTTGGTGCTCTCTGAGCTTGCTTGTTTTCTTGCAGACATTTCATTACCTTAACTAGGTAACATGATCAGCACTAGAAGGGAGTAGGGTTTGGAATGGAGAAGGAGGAGGAGGAGGATAGCAACTGTGGGATCCTTGGTGCTCTCTGAGCTTGCTTGTTTTCTTGCAGACATTTCATTACCCTAACTAGGTAAATTTATCAATGCTAGCAGTGCTAGCTCAGAGAGCACCAAGGACCCCTCATTTCAATCCTGAGCTACCAATATTCCCCTTCATTGATACCCAGTTCCCTTAACTGTTCATTGTATAAGAAAGTCTAACTTCTTCTGATCATCTGTGTTGCTCTTCTCTGCATGCATCCTAGCATCTCAGCATCTTTTGTGTATCATGGCGATCAGAACTGGATGCAATATTCCAAGTGTGGCCTCACTAGTGCAGTATGAAGAAGTACTATCCCCTCCTGTGATCTTGATACAGTCTCGGACCGCGTTGGCTTTTTTGGGCAGCTGCAACACCCTTATGGCTCATACTTAAGCGGTTTTCCTCCAAGACATCTAGGTCAGAGGTCCCCAACCCCCGGTCCGTGGACCGGTACCGGGCCACGGCATGCCAGCAACCGGTCTGCACAAACAAGCAAAGCCCCATTCGTGGGATGCAGGCAGCACACAAAACCACGACCCCTCCGGTCTGTGGAAAAACCTCTCTCCACGGAACCGGTCCCCGGTGCCCCAAAAGGTTGGGGACCTCTGATCTAGATCCATTTCACAGGCATTAGTAGCTTTATAACAAAGAACTGAAACAATATTGTTCTCCACTCTCAAGAATGTCACCCAAGTTCTATCCTCCTTTAAAAGAAAATTTGAAAGCAGGTTCTATTAAGTGAGAACCAACAGGGGGAAAAAAAGGAAGAATTTTTCCACATGGCATAAAATTAAAGCTCCCTCTTCTTAGGGATGGTGCCCTGTATTAACTGCCATAAAACAATTCTGCTTCTCCATCTCTTCCATCTGTTTTTCAGCAAGCCCAGCTCAGGGAACAAGAGTGGTATTCTACCTGCCGCTTTTCAAGAGCACCCAGAAAATTAACCAAAGCCATCTGGAAATCCTAATTTGGAGCAAATTTAGGATTTTGCTTCAGCCAGCATTCTGGGTGACACGGATCCTTTCTGGAACAAATTCCAGCAAATGTTCTTTCAGGCGGGAAAAATAAGCCCAGAATAAAAAACAAATAGGAATTGTACTTATCTAAGAAATTCTTTAAGAGATGTCCAACATATATAATTTTCCTTTTGCTATCATGTTTAAAATGCCTGATTCTCGTATAGAAGACATGGGCACTTTAAAGAGTATAGGGTTCTTCTCCAAAATTGTCTGAACCAGAGTTGAAATTTGCTAGTTTGAAAATCTATGGCTAAAAGTGGCCCATTACTGAGCAAATTAATCCTCATTTGATGACTTATCAATAGTTACCCTTGAAAGCTAACCTATTTGATGAAGGTTGGAGAAGATTCAGAAATAGAATAGAATAGAATTAGAATAGAATAACAGGGTGGGAAGGGAGCTTGCAGGTCATCTAGTCCAACCCCCCCCCCAAGCTAGGAGACCCTACACAATTTCTGACAGATGGCAGTCCAATCTCTTCTTGAAAGCTTCCATATAAATAAACTAAAACAATGTAATGCTCACCACCAGCAGCTCCGGTTTGATCTCTGGTGAAGTGACGCGACAGGGCACATTGATCGCATCTGTATAGTTGTGCACTTTGATGAGGTCTGCATATTTTAGGTGGGGTTGCACAAAAGGCTGTGACTGATCTGCAGGACACAAAAAGGGAACATCACAAACGTGCCGAGAAGCAACAGGGTTGGGTTGCTTGGTAGAAACGACCTGCTATTCATCCTTAATTTTTACACCAAAAGTAGAGTAGATTAACAGATTCTGATTTTAACTTAGATCAGCTGTTGAAGCTGAGTCAGTCCTTTTGGGAAGAAAACTTTGGCAAAGTCAGATTCACCCTTTCTCGACCCAAATATGACACTATACCCTAACCTTTCTCAGCTGAAAATAACATCTGAAACCGTGGAGATATCTTATGCTAGGAAATTGATAAATGCAACTCGGGTCTTCAAGGAATGTTACTTTCCTTGCTTGCTTCCAATTACGCTTGGAGAAGAGAAGGACACAATGACCCTTTCTTTGCAGGCATCTGGAACTTTTTCCCAATGTCCAAGAAAAGAAAATAGCAGTGATGGAACCAGCAAATCAGCACAACAGGAAGACTTGTTTTTCACATAGGTGTTGTTATTGCAAAAAGACAATCATGTTTTCAGCATCCACATTGCTGGACAGTTCCCCGATGCAACTTTTCAGGGAAGCTTTGTCTGTTAGGGCAAGAAACTACACTGAGGGATTCTTGGTGCTCCCCAGTTTTTTTTTTTCTTGCAGATATTTCATTATCCAAACTAGGTAACATCATCAGACGATATTCCCTAGTTTGGCAATGAAACATCTGCAAGAAAACAACCAAGCTCAGAGAGCACCAAGGACCCCTCATTTCCACTCTGAGCTACAAATAGAATAGAATACTTTATTTGGCCAAGTGTGATTAGACACATAAGGAATTTGCCTCTGATGCAGAAGCCCTCCATGTACATGCAAAACAACAGAGTATAATAATCATCATAATAATACCAATATCAGGGGGTAGTAGACTAGACTAGACTAGAACAGACTAGACTAGAATAGAAAGATTGTAGAATAGAATAGAATAGAATAGAATAGAATAGAACAGAATAGAACAGAACAGAATAGACAGATTGTAGAATAGAATAGAATAGAATAGAATAGAATAGAATTAGAATAGAATAGACAGATAATAGAATAGAATAGAATAGAATAGAATAGAATAGACAGATTGTAGAACAGAATAGAACAGAACAGAACAGAATAGAATAACAGAGTTGGAAGGGACCCTGTAGGTCATCTAGTCCAACACCCCCCCGGCCCAAGCAGGAGACCCTACACCATTTCTGATAGATAGCAGTCCAGTCTCTTCTTGAAAGCCTTCAGTGATGAAGCCCCACAACTTCTCAAGGCATAATAGCAATACAGTCCTACTACATGGGTAAATCTCCTTCAGCATAAGACAGTTCTGTGGGAATTAGGTGTTTAGCAGAGTGATGGCATGAGGGGAAAAAAACGGTCCCTGTGTCTAGTTGTTTTGGCATCCAATGCCCTGTAGCAATGTCCCAAGGGGATGAGTTGAAACAGTTTATGTCCAGAATGTGAGGGATCTGTAGGTATTTTCCCAGCCCTCTTTCTGACTTTTGCAGTATATAGGTCCTCGATGGAAGAAAGCAGGCTGCTTGCAATGTTTTTTTTTTCTGCAGACCTAACTATCTGTACCTATCTGTACCAGTCCAGTTTGGTTGCTCTACCAAACCAGACAGTTATAGAAGTACAAATAACAGACTCAGCAATTCCTATTTGGACTCTATCAGCAGCTCCTTGGGCAATCTGAGCGTTCTGAGTTGATACAAGAAGAACACTTTTGTTGTGCCTGTTTAATGATGGTTCTAATGTTAAGCACCCATTTCAAGCCCTGGGAGATTATAGAACCTCAAAACATGAAAGATTCTACTGCTGTTACTGTGCTATGTATAGTATAATATAGTAAGAGGTGGTAGAATAAGGAGGGCTCTTCTTAAATATTCTCCATCCCAGCTTTCCTCAACTTGGTGCCTTCCAAATATGTGGACATCAACTCTCATCAGCCACAGCCAGTGCACCCAAGCTGAGAAGTTTCACACAGAGTATCCTAACAAGCCAGACTAACTTTTATATCTGTTTTGTTTTCTTTTCAGGTGGATCTCTCTTATTTTTAAGGGGGCAGGATGTCAGAATCCAATTATATTTCATTTCTAGTTATCGACTATGAAAAACCCCATTTCTGCCCTCTCTGGATTCTGTCATACTACGAAGGGGAAGGGGGATGAGCAAAGGGGTTTTATGGCTCACACTTCCTTCATTAAAACTTCAAAGGGACTGAATATGAATCTCACCCAGAGGACTGACCATAACAACATGCTATCACCTTTCATCTACTCCTCTCTGAAGTCTCCCTTCTGCCGGCTGTGAGGAAAAGGGGGGTGGAAATGTAACACCTAGGATTGTCGCTGGAAGAACGGTGGGGTGGGGGCTGCTTGGGAACACTTAAAACCTTGAATGGTAGGGGTTGGCCCCTCAGATCCTGTCTAGAACGCCTGCAACCATCTTCTCTTAATAAAGATGCCTGTTGGAAGAGATATTCCAAGAGTTCTGTCTTCTTAAGATGTAAAGTGGGGTGGGTCCTTACAACTTGGTGCCTTCCAGATATGTGGAGATCGACTCTCATCAGCCACAGCCAGTGCACCCAAGTTGAGAAATATATGTTATCGTCATTGTTTTGGTTACCAGGAATCACATTTCTCATGGGTGAGGAGTGAGAATTGCAGCGGGTGGGACTGACAAGGACACCCCATTGTCTTTCTACCCCTTTGTTTTTAAAACCAGGTTAGCCCATGTAATGGCTTACCGTCTATCTTAGGGTCTTCCTCCTTAAAGCGCAGAATGCCAGCAATTTTTGACAATTGCACTCATGAAATTCATGATGCTGTCAAAAGGGTTTGCAAGCTAAAAAGATAAAAGGCAGTTCATGCCTGGGTTGTACTATTCTTCAGTTTGTCTTTCTGTCTAGCAAGATAATCTATAATTATGAGTTGGTAAAGACAGGAACATTTTTTGGTGAATGTCAATTATTCTGGGCTCGGGTTTCTCAATCTTAGCTGTGTTGGCAAGGGGATTTCGGGAGTTGAAGTCCACTCCATACTGGAGGAGGAATTCTGGGAGCTGAAGTCCACCCCATGCTGGTGGGGGAATTCTGGATGTTGACATCCACTCATGCTGGATGGGGGATTCTGGGAGTGCCTAAGGTTGAGAAACACTGGCCTACGGCATTTGGTTTGGCATTCCCATATGAGACTCCTTAGAAGCAGCATGTAGTGATCATGGTTTTGCTGTAGTCTGTATTTTTAAAGTTAGTCCTTGATGATGGAAGAGAGATAGCAAACAAACAAACTGAGGCAAGTCATTGAGGCTGGTCCACAATCGCAAAAAAAAAATCTCCTTCTCACCACTTGAGGGCGCAGTTAAGGTGACTTTACACAGCATCCAAGTACTTCTCTTGTGAACTTTACAAATGGTCAGTTCACTTTTACATGCAGGCCCGGGGAAATGTGGGGTGGGGGCAGTGGTGGGATTCAGCCGGTTCGTACCACTTTAGCAGAACCGGTAGCTAATTTTTTGTTGCCCAGGCCCAGAATGGACTTTTGGAAGTGGCATCCACACAGAGAACCAGTTGTTCACCTATTTGAATCCCACTACTGGGTGGGGGTGGGGGGGGGTGGAACAGATCAAAAGACAGCTGTTATTGAAAAAAGTGAAGCCATCAACCCCACCTACTCCTTTTCATTTAATTCATGGGTGCATATAATGTGCAGGGAAGGAAAGGAAAGGAGAAAGGAAAGGAAAGAAAGTACATGAATGAAAAAGGGAAGGGAAGGGAAGGAAAGAGGAAAGGAAAGGAAAGGAAAGGAAAAGAAAGGAAAAGAAAGGAAAAGAAAGTACATGAATGAAAAAGGAAAGGAAAGGAAAAGAAAGAAAGTACATGAATGAAAAAGGAAAGGAAAGGAAGTAAAAGAATGAGAAAGGAAAGGAAAGGAAAGGAAAGGAAAAGAATGGAAAAGAAAGTACATGAATGAAAAAGGAAAGGAAAGGAAAGGAAAGGAAAAGAAAGAAAGTACATGAATGAAAAAGGAAAGGAAAAGAAAGGAAAAGAAAGGAAAAGAAAGAAAGTACATGAATGAAAAAGGAAAGGAAAGGAAAAGAAAGTACATGAATGAAAAAGGAAAGGAAAAGAATGAAAAAGGAAAGGAAAGGAAGTAAAAGAATGAGAAAGGAAAGGAAAGGAAAAGAAAGGAAAGGAGGTGATGGAGGAGGAGGAGGAGGAGGAGGAGGAGGAGAAGGAGGAGGAGAAATACTATGGAGAGCTACATGAAAGAAAGCCGAATTTTGAGAGTTGAATAAACAATACAGTTTTCACAATGCCTTCCTTCCTGAAGTTGTGATGCACGTGAAATAATTTGCTTTCCTTTGTGGGCACTTTGGAGATTTTTCAGAGAAATAAGGTCTAACATTGTTTTTGTGCCTTCAACCTTTAGAGACGTTAACAGGAAGGGGTCCCACATTGTTGGGAGATGGAAGGCCCAGTCTGATTTTTACAGATGTAGCCAGTTCTTTAAATTAACCAAGTCTTAAGTCATTGTTTTTAGCAGGAGGTAGAACAGGGCAGGATATCTGAGTGGAAGAAGAAGGAGAGATAAGGCGAGGCTGCTTAATGGTTTCCTGACATTTTCAGCTCAAAATTACCCGCTTGGTGCTGATTTCTCACAGCAACGGAGGTGGGTGATGAATGGCCTAGGTTTATCAGGACACTACATAAACCAAGACGTAAAAAAGCAAATAATCTGGTTTATTGTCTTTTTTTCAGAATACCTCTCTCATATCCCTTTTTTCCCCCCCTATGGGAAGTTTATCAACTCCTGCATTTGAAAAGATTGTGCTGGTTTCCAAACAGAATAGAATACAGAATAACAGTGTTGGAAGGGACCTTGGAGGTCTTCTAGTCCAACCCCCTGCTCCAGAAGGAGACCCTACACCATTTCAGACAAGTGGCTGTCCAGTCTCTTCTTGAAAACTTCCAGTGATGATGCCCCTA